CTCCGGAGTAACCTTCATCGACCTCACGGGAATATGGTACGCCACCACTCCCCATGACGGTTCTTGGACCACCGAGCCTGGTCCAAAGGCTCTCAGCCACGCAGCATGTTTGCGGAGGACCTCTGCCCCTGCCGCACTGTTGGCGATCATTGCCACATCCCCCGACGGCAATTTTCGAGCGGCGACAAAGAAAGCCTGTCCGGCCAGTACCCCTGAATTCTTCTGACGGGCATTTGATACCCTCTGTCGTTCAGCCCTCTCGACCAGATCTTTTGGTGTCAATCCACGGATTTGCTCGCGGTTCATTCCGACCTTGACGATGACCTCTCGGTCCTCGCGAAGTTCCATTTCCGGTACTCCTGGAGACGATGTGCCGCCGCTCCGGGTGATAGGAGCCGCAGCCGTAGCCAAGTCGCGCTGCCATTCTTTGGCCCGGAAGTTGCGCCACGCTGCCGCAGAGTTCGCCGCGGGGGTAGATAGTGCCGTCGATAATGTGTTCGTTGTCTTTTCAATGGTATTAATTCGCTGGTTCAGGCGTTCGGTGCCGGCGTTGATCTTGGTCAGCGCCTCAAGTACCTTGGCCATCCCCTGACCGTCTCCCAGTTGGGCGTTTAGTGCGTACTGGCGGACGGCACGAATATATCCAGTGACGTACCGGTCCTCCGTGCCACTGTTCTCGATGTGGTTAAGCACCCGGCGGGCCCCTTCCGCGATGTCGTCCATGGATCGGCGCGGATCCGCGAGGGCCGTGGTTTTTGGTGTTCCTCTCCTGTCAGGGGGCAAAATCTGTGCGTTCGCACCCGTCCCAACCATCGCTGCCATCTCCCCTATGAAAAGGGTATCAGGCCGTAGCGCTTGAGGTTACGATTACGATGAACTAATTCACGAGGCCGTGAGACTCTGATTGGCTGGATATTTCAAGAAAACGTTTTTGCCAAGAAAGAGTTGTCCCTTCCCAAGAAACAGTTGTTTCCATGTTGATACCCTTTTCTTCATCGTACTCTTTCTTCATTTGTCTTTCTCTGAATTGCCGAGTTGCCTGGTCCTCCTTATTCTTCATAAGACACTATGCAGTGAGTGGTATGATGTATTGCTCTAATTCATTTTACTTTAGACCGGGCTCGTACCTTAAGCACTGCATCATATTAGCGATGAGGCAAGTCTGACTTTTGGCAGTGGAATGTCGACTCAAATATTACGCCGAAATCGAGACACAGGTAAAGCGGCCAACTAACTCATGTTCTATTGCGGATAACTTAAAAAATCCGACCAAGCGAAACTAAATGTGCCAAGTCATTCCATAGGACTTGAATATGCATTCGAAGAAAAGAGCGCAATCTTTCAACCTGTCCTCCCTGTCAATCTACGATCGCTGTCATTGAATTGTGAATCCCGATAATTTCTCGAACCTCGTCCAAAGTGGGACGCGCTGACAACTGATTATATATCAGGGAATATCTGATAGCATGTTCTAATTTGCTGCAGAGACTGATAATATCGGGGCGAGTTGCTGCAACATGGAACATCAACGCCTTCATCTGCATCTCTATGAGATGGCCATTTTCTCTGCAGGATGTTAGCCGGGAAAAAGTTGAACCTTATGGTAGCGCGTACATTATCCTTCCACAGCCTTGACCAAGAAGCAAATATCTACAATGTATTATAGCTGTTACAGCCAAAAGCAAATTGAAACGATCCTGTGCATTCAACAGTATCAAGTCGGGGGAGGCAAAGGAAGACGAATCTATCTGCTATGATGGTATTTGATATGCCCCATGCTAAAGAGCGCCTTCCCTTATCATGCCAATTCGGCCGTGTTTGTTCCCATCGTCAAATCCCCATACAGTACGTATACATCTCCACTGTGACTGAACTTGGCATGGCCGGATATGATGGGAAAGGACTCAAGTGTGACCGATGCTTCAGCTTATTAGGGCACTCTGTACCACTGACACCGTCTGTTGATTGTGGTACAGTCGAAGAATCTATTGCCCTGGGCTTTATCTCATAAAGGGATCCACTCTGGGAATAGGCAGGGGATAAAGTCAAACTCCTAGCCAGGAGAACTTCAAGGAGGAGAAACTGATAACGTAGCTGGCACAAATCACATTCCACAATTACTATTGATCTCCGCATTATTGCCGAGAGGGTAAACGTTATAATCAAAGCGGCAGGCCAGCCCCGGTGGCTGTGACATCACTCAACAATAGTTTAATCAATCATTGTTGTGATTGAACATTTATATGGAAAGTAGGAAAGCAATCAATGATTTCCGAGGTAATACCGAATAATCTACCCTTGATGCATGTTTAGTCAATACATGTAAGTTACCACATGGGAATACCGTGGCGATTTCTGGGGTAAGCAATGGTAACATCGATCGGCCATCCCTTGATAAGTTGCGGTCTGCCTTGGAAATACAAATATGCATATGTATTTCATTTTTTATTTGTATACATAACATTACATATTAGAACCCGTTCTATAACCCTCCTCAATCCACAGGTACATGCTCACAATAGCTCTATTTAGTTTCACACTTAGATCTCATCAGTACGTCTAAGCAGCCACTCAAGGTGTCGATAAGCCGCACGTGGCTGGTACTGCGGCTGCATATGACCAGACTGATAAGTCTCAACCCACATAAGACCACGCTCATAGTGCTGAACACCCATGATACCCTGAGGCCCATCTAGATCCGAAGCATTGTTTTCAGCAAAGACATCAGCATACAGCAAATCCGGGATCTTGATGTCAATAGGCGTAGACGGCTTCTCCTGGAAACCGAGATGACCATTCCAGGTCATGTTCTGGATAGCCATGAGCGTGCCGTTGGTGATGATGACCATATCGAAGTCACCATTAGCAATTAGAACGCGGTTTGTGGCTTCGATGACCTGCGGTAGGACGTGCTCGATTGGATTTGCGGAAATATCGCCTTCTTGTTCGGGGCCGGCGTTTCCGCCTACGAATACGGCTTCGGCGGAGCACTCGGCCCAGGTGACGTTGGGTGCGTGGAGGGCTTCTTTGACGTCTGCGCGGTCAAAGTAGACTGTTGATCCTGCTGCTGGGAAGCCGATGACGTCCCAGAGGAGGGGGCACATTAGGTTGATCTCGTACAGGTCGAAGCAAGGGTTGATGTGGAAGACTTCGTAGTAGATGAGGTTGAAGAGGTCACAGTCGGCGTCTGTGGTATAGTTGAAAAACATTGGCGGTTGCGTTTCGGGTGGTGGAAAGGTGAGGTATTTGTCGATGAAATCCTCGTATCCGCAGGACTTATGCTTTTTCTCGAGCTCTGCCATGAAAGATTCGTTAAAGTTGAATAGATTGGCGTTTTTCTGGACGAAGGGTACAACAGGGATCTCTTCTTGTACGTAGTCGAATTGTCCAATACATGGATCGTATGCCAATGCACCTGGAAACTGTCAGACTAGTTTCAAATTTCCTCTCAATACCACTTACCGTCAAGGTCAAAGTACTCCTTGTCCTTCTCATCCAGCATCGCAGCGGAGATATAGGGCACATATCTTCCGGCGTAACTCTCTCCAGTGACATAGATCTTGGAGTTTTTAATCCCGAAAAGATCCTGGAAATTCTTGAAGAATTTGATAAAGTCCTGCGCAGTCTCCTCTTGGGAATTGGCAGTTGGGGTACCAATTGAGTATCCCGTTCCAACAGGTTGATCAACCCTTCACAATGTTAACAAGCAATTTCTCAATTCGATCCAAGTGAGATACAATACTCACCACAGCACATTGGTCAAGTTAACCCAAGCATACGGGTTCTCCACCGGCGCAGAAGTGCCCGGCTGCCACAAGAATCGACCAGTCTCCTGCAAGAAACTCATCATGGAACTACATCCAGGACCACCGTTAAGCCAGATGGTGACTTCGTCAACAGGCTCGTTGATAGTAGGCTGGAAGATGAAAAACAGCGCTCGAGACTCGTTATGTTTATCAATCGGCACCAAACCAGAGTACATCTCGCCGAGATCAAAGGGAACATCGGGTAGGGAGTCCACCAAGTAAGCTATCAATCTATTAGCTCTTATCCTGGTGTTATAATCGGAGCAGCTTAACACCCACGCTTAGTATTCTTGCTGAGAAAGCGAAAGTCTTTCTTCGGGTGTGATTTCTCCTCGCTTCGAGCCTCAATGGCTCGTTTAGCCCTTTCCTGAGGCACGCGTGCCTTCTGTCCGAATTTACCATGCTTGGAAGCATCCACGACCTCCGAGCCTAATGGCAGGGCCAGAAGTGCGGATGTAACCACCGATTTGAGCAACATTCTGTTGGGATTGGGGAATTGGGGTGTGTATAGGTGTCCCGAATCAGGAACCAAGGGGGAGTGAAATGTTCGTTCGCTCATTTGAGTGAGGGGAAGCACAGCTATATAACTCCGGGATTGGTGGGAGTTGATCGGAAGATTGGAGAACTTACCTAGCTTCGGACTAACTGATGCTTCTTCTACGCCTCCGCGGCCCCTGTCGATTGTGATTATTCACTGATATCAGTTCCAGTGGGGTCATTGCCCATACCCGGAAAAGGAAATTTGTCTCTGAGTCTGCTAGTCTGCCACTATTATTGTTTGGAGCATAGCATCTTTCTTGTGGGATTGCTATCTCAACGACGCTGCTGTTGGAATGAATGATTTGTGCATGGTCATGGCTGCATCTGCGGCATTGAGTGGATACGCACAGATGTGACCAGGGTCGGAGCAGCGACGGCCAGTTAGTGGGTACATACCCTTTCAGATCGACATTAATAAGGGGGCGAAGTGTCCTCCCAAAACAGCTGAGCAAAACTGGGGTCAGGTTTCCGCCCAACTGTTAAACACTGCAAACGGGCCACACTTGGGTTAGAAGGGATTCAAAGCTGACTTCCCAGCCTCTTCAAAACCAGCCTCAACACGTCAATACTTTATAAATTCATTATTTGCACATCGTCTGAATAGAGGCTGTAGTATTGACCCCTTTGACAGCCACACACACTGATTTTATGGCAATGGATATTTCTCAACATCCGGACATCACCAGCTTGCTTCTCAAGCCAGATAACCTTCCAGGAGAGGATGTCGAAGGAATGGATTACTCACGATGTGTGGCTCTACACAACTACCTGATCCAATATGCTTGGCTCGCTGAAGGCCGTCCACTGTCAACTCTGAATGTCAACAGCACCAACTTTTTCACGGTCCACGGTGCTGAAGCTGAGGCTCTTCGTCCAAGACTTGATCCGTCGATGGTGGCTTTCCTTGACAACGCTATAATACCTCTTTGGGAAGGATTTAGCGAAACGCCACTCTCTATTTTCGCATAGGGACTCAATGGGCCACAATCACCCTTTTGGGGGCGTTATCTACCACCAACGCCACCATCGCGTCGCGATCTTCATGCATACTGATGACTGGGGCTTCGGGTTTCAAGTTAAGGATCATCCAGACGTTTGGAACCCATTCGAGACAGTGCTCTTCCACTGGATCGACCTGATTCGTATTGGAAAAGTCGTGGCTGCGCCTCATGAAGAGCCAGCGCTATTCGAATTCAAGAAGATCGGGCCCTGGGAGTGGCGGCCCTATAGCGAAGCCCAGGTTACTACGTGTGTCGACGCGTGGGATCGGTTGTGTCAGGTTATCGAGATGCGCATCTCGCAGCTTCCAAACCCACCATCACTGATCAGCCCCGATTCCGGGACTGATGCGGATAATCCAGAGCCACTGGTCGCATCAAGCGTCCTAGACGCCGCCTCGGTGCTCGATCCTTGCTTTACGCGTTCGTTTCTGTCACGCGCGAGACGACCCTCATTCCAATACAACGCTCCAGGCCTACTCCTGCCCCTGGCTGACTTGTCTGGGTTTGTGGCATCACAGACATTTACTGCATTGCCCCTTTCCCAGTATACCGTACCGCCAGTGTGCCTTTTCACCGCCGACACCGGAGACCAGCGTCCTGTCTAGCTTACGAGATTTACAGGTCCATGGGTGTTTATGGAGGATTTCTATTCATCATCTACCGATACGCACACACCGTCTCGCATTTCTGCGGGTCTGTATACTACAGCAGTGGATAGAAAATGTGATGACATGGTCGAGGATGGATTTCAGCTATCTCTCCCGTTCACCGTCAATGCTGGTTATGGCAGGAAGCTAGGCGCACGAAAAAGCGATGGGGAGCTTGTTGGTAGGGACAGGTTTTCAGAACTCTTTCAGCATGGATTCAAGCCTTTTGGTGGTAACTACTACCGCCCTCAGCGGCTGGGGCGTTTGTTGGATTGTTGGCGCAAGCTGGTTGAAGATGGTGTCTCGTCTGTTGGGCCGGACGGGGTAGAAGTACAATCGATACTTTCAAAGATGCTGAGACGCAGAGTCGTTGGAGGGATTGTTATATCCCTCCCTCGTGGTAGATATCCCAATTATATCCCGCCTTCAATCCAGAAACTATTTCTGGGCTCTGTGGGGATGGACCAGGTAGTCACCCGAAGACGTCCTGAGAGGGATATGCAATTCATATGATACACCACTGTAATTCTGAAATAAGCGAATTTAGATATTAAAGCATAAACATTTTGCCGTGCCATAAAATAATTTTTAGGCTGGCTAAAGCTCGATTTAAGAATCCTTATTCCACGTGCAAAAAAGCACTCGTCAGTCCGTGTTTACCAGAGATAACTACAGGAGACGGGACATTATTAAACTGGCATGCCCTCACGCCAACTTCCTCGCTAAACCCTTCCGCCAAACTCTTCAACAAACCCACATTCAGACCAATTCCCCTATGGGATCAACAGCCAATTCTCTCGTGCTGGAGCCGGCTACCCCGGAAGACGTCCCTGCGATCACAGAGGTGTGGTTCGCTGCGTTGACACAGCCAGTGATTGGGCACCTATTTCCCAACACCCTCGGTATGCACAAGTGGCACCAGGACTGGCACCATGGCGACTTTCAGACGAAGCCGTACCAAAAGTACCTGCGCGTGGTTGACGTCAACTCGAAGGATGAGCAAAGCCGATCGCGGCTAGTTGCCTTTGGCAAATGGGACCTGTCCATGCCCGAAGAGCGAGGTCGTCGCTTTTCGCATTGGCATGCGGACTCACCTTTTCAGGAATGCGAGGACTTCATTTCAGCGCTCGAGAAGGAGAGGAAGCGCGTTTACCGCTCCGCACGAATTTTCGAACTGTTCGAAATTCGCGAATTTCGTCGAATCGAATCGAATTCGAACCTTGGTTTTTGGGCTTCGAATCTATGGGCGATTCGATTCGTCAAAATTCGCGAATTTCGAACAGGTTCGCGAACTATTATCTAGCTTTCTTAGGAAAACCAGGTTCTGAGATGAACTTTCGAGATGTCCGGTCTCTGCAGGAAGACCTCAGCAAATCAATCCATGGACGGAATCACGACTGCCCGTTTTAGATAGATTCACGCGTATTACATTAGGAACTGAATATTCCACTCCCACAATAGGGCTTATAAACCTTCTCTCGATATCTACCTCTGCTGCTGGTATAGCAAGATGATCTTGGGCTACCTTAGCCATACAAGTAAATTCAAGTCTGTTGGCCTTCCACCAGTTCAGTATAAATTCAGTCTGGCCCTGGCTTCTTTCGAAACCAGTGCTGATTGTAGGAGTATCAAAATACTGGTCGATATCAGATTCAGCGACGTTATACTGTGTAGGCTAAAAGGCTTCCAGAAATCGATATTCGAAGCTCTTCCAATTAGTGCTTAGAGTAGTCGATACAGGCTGTTTTGGGGTGGGATATGCTTTCTTCAGGAACGCCCTGATTCGGCCAATAATCTTCTCTCCATCTGGTAGCGTTTTGAGCCACTTGGTCTTGATTCGAGGGTCCAGAACGCTTGCGATATAGTATATATCGTTGTCTTTGGCGCAGTCGTGGTACTGCTCCAGGAGTGAGATTCCATCGGAAATAAGAATAGTTATTGCTGGCGAGACCTTCTGCCACTCGCCTCGTCGTTCCTTGATAGCGAAGAGTATAGAATGGAGCTCTTCAAACATACGCGCCGCCATATGAATTGAAGGGCTATCTCGGGAGACGTACTCAGTATATTCGTTGAAGGGAGCCAGGATTTTCTTGACATCTGAGAGCTGTCTCCAGTCGTTCGGTGTGAGACGTAAGGCTTCAATGTCTGGTTCATCGTTGACTGTATCTTCGAGCTGCCGGCGGCACTCTTCAGCTCTCTCAATCATAACAAAGGTAGAGTTCCATCGAGTATCAACATCGTAGTTGATAGCTTTTGTACATCCAGGTCGATTATCCCACCTCTGTATTCGCTGAGGAGATCGCGCAATCCAAAGGACAAGTAGTCGAAGCTTTGCAATAGGTGAAGTAGGAGCATTGATCATCTTCCAGCTCCTCTTAGCAACATCATCAAGAAGATCACAGGCTTCCTTATGCGAGCTGGCGCGTAGAGACCTCAATATAGTTTTCATAACCAAATTCAAGATATGAGCAAAGCAGCGGATTTGGGAGTTCTGGGTAAACTTCATCCTCCCTTCTCGGATGATGGTCTCGGCCAGGTACTTATCATACCGCTGAGACAGCCTTCGGTAAAGGCATCGGTGTAGGGTGTCATTATTAGATGCGTTGTCGGCTGTAATCGTCATAACTTTATCAGATATATGCAACCTCTCAAGAACCGTCGCGACGATATCAGCAAGGTTCTCTCCAGAGTGGTTGCCTTCGATTTCAACAAACTCAATACAAGCTCGATATTGCTGAAAAGTAGAGGTCATCCAGTGAGCACTAATTGCCAGCATTGGCAACGAGTTCTGACTTGTCCAACCATCAAGAGATAGCGCGATTGACGAAGCTGAAGACATCAAGATTAGAAGCTCATTGTCAAGAGCATCAAGCCGAAGATATAATCGGCGTGAAACAGTATCCGCACTTAGTACGGAGTCCTGAAAGCCTGCAGACCTCAGCATGGCCTTAAATGAAGGTTGTTCGACGCATGTAAACGGCTGGCAGGTCGATACAATCCAATTCAGGGCAGCTTCTTCGAATGGGAGCTTCTTTTCCTTAGAAATCCATGAGCTTAATGGTCCTTGGCACTCTGGATGACCGTCCTGAAAGAGCTTGTGTGTTCGCTGCAGGTGCTGTTTCAACGCCGTGGTTGAAGATCGCAGTTTAGATGCAAATCGAAAGAATCGACAGCTAGATGGCGATACAATACACTGGTGTTTAAGCTCGAGCCGCTCCTTATTTCCTAGTCTCCAGGTACCAGATTCAGGTGTTGTACGGTAGTGTTTCCATACCCAGCTCCGCTCTTTCGACCCACTCTCATCTTTCTGCTTGATTTTAACCCTCTCAACCTCGTATTCGATCTGAGATTGATTGGGATGGGCATATGTCCGTATCAAGGTTCGATAAACTTCTAGAAACATCGCTGGGAGCCGTAGGGGACGTTGAAATCGGAGGAGTCGGTGACTTAGAGGCGGGCTGGACCGCTCTCTTCTTTCGAGGGGGCGGGGGTGATACATCCTCTGCAAGGAGGCCGTATTTATTAAACGCCGCATAATCGCGTTTATTCTTCCTAGTATTAGGACAATCGAATGTTGTAGCAAGTGGAGAAGTCATCTAACGTTACATTAGTATATCAAGCTGGTGTCTTGCTTGATTGCTTACTCTGGAGCACCCAGAAGTGGTGGTTTTCGATAGCTTTTTTTACCTCGATTCGAATGTTGTTCTGATTGAAAGCACGTACGCGCGGAGACGCGTTCTTGTGGAATCTCCGCTAACCCGATTAGACGATCCATTTACTCTACATTGAATAAAATATGCAACTATTGATATTTTGGCTCTATATTGATGTGTTACGTGTATCTCGAGGGGATCTATGAGATAATCTAAATTTGAAGCGAAACCGACTATAAATAAGGTTGTGTTCTTACTGAATAAACTTAGGGGTAAAGAATATATATTATGTGCATGGACGTAGCTGGCGAAAACCCATGTAGCCGTGTCACGGGACGACCCCCAACCCTCCGGGTAGGGGGTGTCCCACAGCCATAATGCAATTAACAGCCATAATGCAAATTTTCAATTTCTTCAACTTCTAGCTCACTTTTTAGACGTATAAGGTCCAGAATCCATGAAATAAAGCCCATCAATAGCCTCATTAGCCAATAATGTATCAACCTCCTCATTTTCAAGTGTTTCCTCCAATTCCTTAGCCGCCAAATCGGCCGCCATTTTCTCTGCGTCTTTCTGCCAAGCACGAAGCTTCGACTCATCTTCTTTCTCACACCTTCGCTGTACTAGCCTATTGCCTGAAATCGATGAAAGGGGACTCTTTGTAGCACCCTTCACCCATCGCTTGCTTTTTGTAGGTTTTTTCCTAGGCGTTTTATGGCTAAGGGCGCGCGCAAGACTCATCTCAGCAAGTTCCGCATTGTATAGAGACGATTTTCCGGCATCAATTGCGCGCCGTAGATGCTTCCGAATTTTATGTAAATCAGGATTCGGGTTATCAAGTAGCGGGAAAACTGTCTTCTCCAATTTTTCAATACGCGCATAAGAATTGGGCGGAGAATTGGTCGCTGAACTTGGGAATTCGCGGGTAGGTGACGGCTCGTCGTACATACGTAAGGTCTCTTCGTCCGAATACTGCCCTAAATTACCCAAAACTTGTGTCGGATCTAGTGGCCAGATACCAGTAGATTTAAACGAGGTTTGGATAGTTTTGGACTTTAAGGCGTGGCGTCGGACGGCGTCAATATTGCGGAAAAAATCGCGTTTTTCGTTGCTTCCACCCCACGCCACAACCTCAGTATTCGCCATTTTAAACTCATGTTTTAGGCTTAAAAAAGCCTCAGCATCAAGGGGCTGACATATATGAGTCGTGTGAGGTACAAAATACCAAGGAATAATCAGGTTTTCCTTACAAAAATCGAGAAATTCGATAGTTGTATGAGACGTATGATTATCCATTAGCAAAAGCCTCGGTCGCCCACGTCGTACGCGGTTTTTTGTGGCTTCATGAAATGAGCATAGCCATCGGTAAGCAGTCTCACTATCCGTCCAGCCACTAGACGTTAAGTGGATAATTTTGTACGCCGAAGAAGAGGTTGACATATTACTATACCAGTCTTCCATGTGGACGCTACCTTTGATTAGAAACCACGGAAACATCACCCAGCCATCAGCGGCAATACATTCAATGCCAGTAATAGTTTCACCTCGATCTCCAGTAGCAATACTAGCAGTTTGGCGCGTAGAGACGACGTGTTGGTTAAGTCCTTCTCCATTTTGGAAGCCGGTTTCATCCCAATTATAGATCTCATGAGGTTCAAAACCATGCTCACGGTAGAGACACTCAAGCCTATCATACCAATGGCTAATAACTCCAGGGTCCTCAGCTTGAATTCGTAAAGACTCCTTTGATTTTTGGGTAATAAGCTTGATGTGTGGAGGTAGACGCCGTATAAGCCGATAGCTATACATTGAACTAACAACTCTCTCCGAAACCGCTATTTTCAACAGGCGATTTGCGGCAATTTCAATATCTTTTGCAGTTGGAGGTGTATAGCAAGAATTTAGCACTTCGATCCAGCTAATTAATGCATTTTCCTGATTCGAATTCAATGCATTATTGGTGGTAGGGCGATCGGAGAGAGATGTCTGTCCGTTTTTGCGACCGCGAAGCTTCGAATAAGACACGCGATAATGGTCCGCAGCCTTACGTAGAGATGAAAATTTTCGCGTAGTATAAGCATGTAATGCCTTAGCTAGCAGATCCTCTTCATCACGAGCTTTTTTAGGCATTTTTGGTGGGTAGAAATACGCGTAAAAGTTGAAAAGGTAGGAAATTTGCATTATGGAGGTTAATTGCATTATGGCTGTGGGACACCCCCTACCCGGAGGGTTGGGGGTCGTCCCGTGACACGGCTATATTGATACTGCCCTACAGCTTATTTGATCCAAGGCCAAATCGTTTAAATTTTATATCAAAGACCAACCTCAGCTTAGTTATATCTGTACCTGTTAACTTAATAAGGGTTGTTTATTAGACTACAAGTCTGGTGTCGATTGCTGCTTATAACTGATGGTGTTCAACTACAGGTACTGCCCGACTTGGTTTACCGCCTTCCCAATGAGGATTTAATACAAAAAAGTTCGCGAACACCGAATCGAATTCGAACTGGTCATGAATTCGAATTCGTACGAATCGTTATTTTCAATATTAATTCGAATCGAATCGAATCAGGCAAAAGTTCGATTCGATTCGATTCGTGCGGAGCGGTACAGTCAGGAACGTAAAGTGTAGATCCCAGGGCTAGATCTC